TAATTCAGAATCTGCCAAGAAACTAGTACTTGAATAAGCGTTGGACTGGACAATGCTCTGACACCTTAGATATGACCAAGAGCTTAAAATAGCATAAGACAAAGACATTAGAGGCAGAAAAGCCTGAAGAGCTTGAAAGCATAAGCCAGGAATACCACCACAACTAAACCAATGGGAGAAGCTGAATGTTAAGTGAAAGGTTGTATTAATTTGACTGCAAGTGCCAGGGGACTGAACCACGAACAAACTGCGTGTTGCTGACACCTTTGCCTTGGATGACTGTTGTCTTAAGAATAAAGGACACTGTCAGAAAAAGATGTTATGTGCAGAAGAAATAATAACCATGAGAGCAAATGGAACATATTACTTTCAATTATGTGTACAACTCCCAGTATTTCTAGGAACTGTGCTGTAACCCTAAGAGAAAATCAACAGGTTGTAGAAAGATAAATGGATAAAATTCCAGGTTTAGGAAAGTGATTTTGTTGTTGTTTAAAAAAACATGCTTCTAGAAGCTAGTGACAAACCAGGAAAAACATCTTAGACTGGTTTATTATTTTTAGATGGCATTACTAGAGATATTTCAGCTGAACAGCTGATTATGAATTAAAAGGCTTTTCAGCTAGGCTTCTTCTCCCGATACAGTTGTATCTGACAGCAGGACACAATTTAAAGGACATACATTTGAGCAGAATACAGTGAAATCTGGATTTAGATATGTGACTACTAGTTTTCATCACTCCTAATTGATTGGGTGCAGAGTACAAAAGCCTGGTGAACCCTTTGTGTGAACTCTCTTAGTCAGAATAAAACTGACCTTCATCTAATGTAGCCTATTTCACTTCCAAAGTGAGTTAGCCTAAATTGAATTAAGGTAATTTTTAATTTTGAAGAAAAATACATACTGAGGCATTTAATATACCTTAGTCTACTTTAAATTAATAGCTGTAGTTAACTTGGAGATCTTGTAGAAAAGACCTAAAAGGAGAAATTAAAAAACACCACTATTTTTGCTATTTCATCTTCTTTCTTCTGTAAACCTGATTCAGAGTCTCAATATACTGCAAGAACAAACAAACATCAGTGTAATATTGATGACCTCCCAGTTATGGTAAACACAGAGATAATGAAGTCAACTACCCTGAAAGTGGTTTACTATATAGTTTTTTTAAACAGTTATGCATTTGAATAACTTCAACTGCACAAATAGTATTTCTAATCAGATCTGTGTGAGTAGACTAGAAACTAATGTTAGACAACTACACCATCAATTTTAAGTTTCATTTCTTCTATAGTTCATGTGCAGCAATCCAAATATGTTGCTGAACTATTAAAATGACAAGAAAGAAAAAAAGGCAATTTTTTTTTTGTTTCGTTGTGGTTTTTTTCCACTATTTTTTTTTATATGATCAATGGCACAGAAGTGCAGCAAATCAAGATAATATAAAATATTTTGCTTTTCTTAGGCTGAGCAATCTATTATGGATTCCAAAAGTCTGGAACACCCATGTAGAAAAGCAAAGGACTTCTCACAATGTGAATAAGGAAACTTTTAAAATGAGGTTAATGGCAGCCAGATACCCACAAAAGGATCACAAAGTCAGTCACAGAGGCAGGTCAGTAAGAATTTTCCTTAACAGTAATTAGCAATTTATTCTAAATCACAAATTTGCAGGCAGTACCTTCTACAAATATGGAATAATCTACAGAACAATTATAAGCAACTGAAAAAAGTGCTGCTTGGCTGATAGCAAGACACTACACCCCCTCTCCCAAATGATCATAGGAGATAAAGGCCAAGAACTGAGCAGCTGGACTTGCCCATTAAGAAAGTCTGTAGTTTATCTCTGCAAAAACCATGTCTACATGTCTACTCAGAAGGACATTGATCACAGACCACCACCTGCCACCTTCCATGAATGAATATATAGCCACAATCCACAGAAAATTCAACAAATGCTGTCTTGTCAAGGAGCAATGCTGATAGCAAAAGCCCAGACCATATATGCCTGTTTATTTATGTTTAAAACATCAGAAGAAAACCCACCTTGTAACTTTATGGCTCTTGAGAGGCTTGTGGTGAAATACGTATAGTTAAAAATCAATAAGGGAATATATAAACACTTTGCTTCTATGTTTACATGGTTTTCTTTGACCAGCAGCTATCTTAGGAAACATAAAATGCCAAAAAGGGAAGGTGAAGTGTTGGCTGCTACTGTAAACTTCCTTTGGAACTTCTTGCTCTAGGTGCACCCAGTCATGTTGAAGGAAGCCCAAGTCGCCTGTAAGTAAGAATCCTTCCTTCCTTGAACCAAAATGTCCCTCAAAATTGTAACAGTTAAATTATGCAGAACACTGTCCTGAAGCTCCAGATTCACAGTCAGAGGGCATCACAGACCATTTGTCAGGAGATCTGGCACAGCACGTTTCTGGCCAAGTTGCTCAGTTTCATTGTAGATTCAGGGGCTGGCAATATTAGATATTGTGGAAACATCCTCTCTGTGAGGATGGGTCCTCAAAAGAAATGAATTGTGCATCAGTGGATTTGGCCTTACCTGCACAAAGATGTGCTTTATCACTTTTTGTATAGCTAGTACAGGAAGCAAGGGGAATTGCCATACTCCTGCTTTCATCCTTTCCCTTAGCACATCTATATGACATAACTGATATATTCTTGGCAGGGCTGAAATTATGCTGCAGTGATGAATATTCCTGTTTCTGGGTCAGAAGCTGTAAAATTTGGAAATAACTTCCACATTCACAAAGAGATACATATGCTTCTAGCAACCTGCTAGAAAAACATCCCACGCTGGCAGAGCAGGGGTTAGCTGAGAGCAGGAAATGTGCCAGTAGCCTGGAACAACCTGAAAGGAAAACAAACAGTTAAATGCCAAATATATCTGTCTGTTTAGGAGTAGAGAAGGAGGCTGCCAGGGGTACTCAAAGATGCAGGAATGTGGGATTTGGGGAACAGCAGTCAAAGCCAGTATTCAAACTCTTGCAGTGTACAGGCACTGCTGTAATGGTAAGGCAGGCTGGCCATATAAAGACAATTACAACTAAGGCAGGTACATATTCATAACCTGAGCAGAGCCTACATCCTCAGGGTAGGAATTATCACTATGGATGGGCGAACCCATCAATCCCTTGCAGGCACACCGTAAATGCGAGGGAAGAAAATTAAGATGCGTGATGATTTAAATTTAGCAACTCCTTTTAAATGTGTATTGACAACAACTGCTGTAGTTGCTACAGAAATGCCACTATCTCATCTAGAAATTGGAATAATTATGGAGTGAAATGATATGTGGCTCCAGAAGTAATTACCGTATGAAAAGGTGGTTTCCATTTAAAGCATGTGAGAGCCCTTGATCTAACAGAAATTTATCTTTTCTGTCCTGAAATAACCCTCTCATTTTTAGTTCTGAGTCCACATCGCGTGGAATATGCAAGTTTCATGAGGGAACTGTACATCTGCTACAGAGTGTTAGGTTTAATCAGAGAAACAGACTGATCTTGCTAGGATATTCCTAATCAATATTTCTCAACAAATATGTAGAAAAATGGATTAAAACCTGCTGTGAGTCACTGAAACTGCATCATTGTGTGTACAGTTCTAAAACTGCTCAGCTGACTTTCTTAGAGTATAGCTATTTTTTTTAAAATCTTACACAGACTAGCAAAACAAATGAAATTGGTATTTTTTTAGATTGCACCATTACTTAAATATCCTAACATATCCAAACATTTTTCATATTTGCATGATTTGATTTTTTAATCAGTTGTGTTGCATGAAAGAAGACAAACTACTTTTGTATGAGCAGTGATACAGAGCATTTCAGCATCAAAGGATTTTACATAAGAAAACCAAAGGATTACATACAGGAAAATTAGGGCAAAGTGAAGATTAGGGCTAGAATAAGAGTTGATGCTCTGAATGCTGCATAGTCTACACTTGCATGTTCTACCATTATTTTATAGCTAAATTGAGTAAGTGGTGTGAACAAGAATGCGAATGTCCAGCCCTAAGTCTTTGTTTCTGTTACTTTCACTTAAACATGCAATGCTAAGATCATGGAAGTGGCTCATTTAATGTTTCACAGCACTGTTGATTTACATTTGCTATGTCGATTATGAAAGTGTTTGGGTATAAGCATTTATGCAAATCCAGTGCTGCATGTGTATTCAAAGCATGTACTTATTTGAGAATTAGTATTATGCATTGCTGCACGTGTGTGTGGTGCTACGTATTGGATTTTGCTGGAGTACCTGCAACAACTAGCTGATCCTTGTCCAACAAATCCCAAAAGGCTGTAATGATTGCTGGACCTTGCTGGATCCCCACTTATGCCACCCATGCAGTATAATTTGCTAGTGAAGGGATGAGCTGTAATGCCAGGAATATGCTAAAGATGCTGCAGCATACCTCATTTGTTAGTAATGATACTGTCTTCTCAAGGATATCAAAATGCCTGTCAGCACCTGGATGAAAATCAGCTGACTCAGATTCAATCTGGCCAAAATGAAAATGATGATGGCTGGAGCGGGAACAATGTTTAAAACTGGGGTAACATCTTTGCCTACCTGCGATACCATCTTCAGACATTTATATAAATACTACAGCACCTCGGGTTTTTATTTTTTGTCATGGTCTGAATGATGAAGATGGTCAATGGCAAAGGTACCCTGCTCTTTTCCCCAGCTTAACTTCTCCTCCTGGTTCAGATCTGGCTATTGCAACCTTTGTGCCCTTCCCTGACAGAGCGAATTACCGATAATGAGCTGAACCTCTGGATCAGAGCTTAAGGAATGCAGAGACTCCAGTTTTGGCAAAATGAGGCAGCCCTCTTAAATAGTAGCAGCTTCTCTGACCCAAATGGTTTGCAGGTTATTTCTTTGCTATGTCTAAGCCACATTTCTGATCTTCAAAGCAATAAAGACGTGGCTGCCCCAGAGCCTGTTTCTTTAACCATAAAACCACAGGTACTCCTCTGAAGCAAGCAGTATCACACAGATCAGGATAATGCAAGTGAAAAGGTGAAAAGCAAGAGGAAGTCCCTCAACTGTAGTGTTCCTTGATAGAACTTCAACCTACAAAACATCAAGATAATTCAGGTAAGTGCTCCCAAAACTCTGCAGCTGGATAACACAGGCAAGGGGTTATCACTGTCAAGGTAGAAGAACACACTAGCTAGGTATGCCTAATGTTCATACAGTGTGCTCCAGAGCAGTCACAGGAGACTGGAAACTTCCCAGAAGTATCTGCTTTCATGTGCGGAAATTGGGAAGCGGATGCGTACAAAATCCCTTAGAGAAAGGTAATTGAGGCCATGACAGCGTGTGCAGCACCAGCAGGCAGCCCACAGCATGAGGAGAGGGTTTTGGTAGCCCCTGTGAAAGGTGGTAGCTGAGATGGCTGCCGTCAGAGCAGTTCATGGAGCCTGCAGCCTTGGAGAAAGAACGCTGCCAGAACAGGCTGGGCATCACGTAAATTGTCCTGGCAGAATATATATGGTTTGTGATCCCTAAGATTAGCACTTCTGCTCTCCACTATCCTCACTTTAAGGCACATAGAGCCTACTTTTTGATAAGCATTTCCTTCCAGAGCTAAAACACTCAAAAGTGTTTTTACATGGTAAATATATATATTCAAAGACTGCTATTATCAACTCGAAAGTCACAATACCGTTTGAAAATGCATAGCGTAGCTATTTATGACATGAGTGGCAGAGAAAGGGGGGAGTAAAAAAAAAAAAAAAACCTCTTTCCTGGCAGCTCTCTCACTCTGTATTTTTTTCCTGTAGTCTGTTGAGCCGTGTAAAAACAGTCTGTGAACAGGCGGCAAGCGCGACTTCCCTCATGTTCGCTGCCGCGGCGCAGGCCCGGCCAGGACGGGTCGGGAAGACCCAGACGGCGGCCACGGGATGGCGGCCCCACGGAGCGCGTATCCACCAGCGGCCGGGGATGTTACGGGGGATGCGGGCGAGCCCCACGCGCGGGCGGGCGCAGCCGCAACGTCGCGAAGCGCTCGGCCGTTGGGGTCACCTTGGGCCCAGCACGCCGCGCCCCCGACCCAAGAGCAGCACACTGCGGGCGGGAGGGAGCTCTGGACAAAGGGCACAGGGCCGCTTATACGGCACCGCCCCGTGAGGCCGGGCGCTGGCCGGGGCTACACAGAGGCGGCCGTGCCCCCGCCGCGGGCGCGGAGGCCGAGGGCAACCCGACCGCCCCGGCCCTCTGTGAGCCACCGCTGGCACGGGCGAGCGCCGCCCCAAGCTCCTGTAGCCCCTTGTCTGTCCGTCCCCTCCTCCACTCGGGCCCGGCCTCTGGGGCAGCGCCCCCCGCCTTCGGCAGCGGCGGAGTCCAGACCCATGGACGGCGGCATCCCGCGCCCCGCGCGCCCCCGGCGGGCGGCGTAGCAGAGAGGAGGCACCGCCCCGGCCGTCATTTCCGCCGTGTGTCGGGGTGGGGGAGGGGGGCATAGCGCTCGCCTCCTCCTCCGCGGCGGCCGGAGACACAGAGACCTAGCGCGGGGCGAGGGGAACCAGTCGCCGCCGCGCCCGCGGGCCGCGCCGCCCCGCCAGCAGAGCCCTGCCTCCTCCCGCCGCAGCCGCCCGGCATACTTCCCGCCCCCCCGGCCCCGCGCCGCCTCGGCCCGGCCATGGGGAACGCAGCCACCGCCAAGAAGGGCAACGAGATCGAGAGCGGTGAGTGAGGGGGACCCGCCGCCTCCGCCCGGCGCCTAGCTCCGCTCCCCGAGGAGGGGCCGGCGGGCTGGGCCCTGCGCGCCCGCCGCGCGCCGCTGTCGCAGGCCCCGCGGCCTAGCGGTTGAGGCGCCGAGCCCCCTGCCCCGCGCAGGCGTGTGCGCGTCGGTCGTTGGCTCGGCGCGGCCTGCTCGTCCCCGCGGAGAGCTCGTCTCCGGGTTTAGTGCCCGAGGCAAAATGAGGGACGAATCCGCCTGCGGCTGCTGGGCCGAGGCCGCTGCCGGGCCGCTCGTCCGGCTGTCCTGCAGCAGGTGTCTGTCCCTGGCCAAGGAGGAGCCGCTCCACGGCGGGGCCCGGGTGTCGGCGGGCAGGTGTCAGCGCCTCCGCCAGCCTCCATCCTGGCCCCGGCCAGCTCGCTTTCCCCACCCATGAACACACCCTTGCCGGCGGGGGAGGCCGCCCGCCGCGCTCCGTCTGCGACGGGAGGGTTTTCATCCCGCTGCGGCGAATGTAGGTCAGAAACTCCTGAGCCAGCTCGGATCGTGCAGCCCCGGTGACCCCGCCGGTGCTGCCGCTCCCCGGGACACGGCCCCAGCCCCGCGGCGTGTTTACATCGGGAGCGCGCCGGGAGAGCAAACGCTGCTCCAGATCCGTGGGTAAAATGGAAGACAAAAGCATTGATCTGAACTTGTCATTGCAGGGTGCTTTTTGCTGTTTTGTTTTCTTCTCCCTGAATATTTCAGCATGATCTTAAAATGTTACAAAGCTGATTCAGTTGAGGGGAGGAATACAGACTTTATTTTTAGCAAGTTAACTTCCTTACTTTTCTTCTAGTGGAAAACTTCGGGTATGTTTGTGATGGATAAGAGAAAAGCCAAGACGTAGAGAGCAGCCGGTTGTGCAAGCTCAGTGTTCCTACAACAATACCCTTTGTTACTGGAAATTCCTTGGGCTGTGTTAAAGTGGAAAGAAGTTTAAACATCCAAGTTACTTTTTTTTTTGGCAGTTTGTTTACTTTTTGAGTGTTTATTACTTGAGGCTTGAGGTAGAACCGAGTAACCCCATTTGTCGGCTAGCGCCTACCCACATATTCCTCTGCTCCTGGGGAGCTGTATGAGTGTCTCGAGGTGTGGGACCCGGGCTCTGCTTCACCTGCCCAGTCCTGCTCTGTGGTTTTGCCTTCCAGTTCTTGCATCTTATCTCAGTATTATTATTATTATAGATTTCACAATCCAAATGTTTATAAGTATTTGACCATTACTGTTTAGTGTTTTTTATTTATTTATCAGAGTGCATTAATTTTTGATAGGGAGTATTTTAGCCTACCTGTAAAGATATGTGTGGAGAAGGAGAGGGAGAGTGGGTGAGTTGTTTGAGGTACTTCAGATGACAACACTGCATATTGTACTTCATAGTAGCTGTATCGTTATTAATCTGTACAGTTAAATAACACTACACCACGCAATGTTTACTTCTAATTCTTAATAGATTCTTTCCTTTTATTACCAAATACAGTGATTTTTAGGTTGCAGGAGGAGTTTGCTTCAGAACTCCTATCTCCTTTTATTAGAGTTTAAAAATGAAATGGCACTGTAAATATCAAGCTCAGATGTTCAGTTACTCAGTATATTTAGCAGCTGAAAGCTCTGTAAGGTTTCAGCTTCTGTTTCTTCATCATTGCCATCCTGCTGGGAAAGACCAGGATTCACTTACTGTGGAGAATCAATAGTATATGAATACTATATGTATAGACACAAATTACTAGAAACAAGTCTTGGTTTACTGGTAGTGAAAGTTGATGTGTAGTCTATTGATACAATACATGAATGCTGAAAACTGAGAAAACATAAAATATGATGGAGCTTTATTATTTCAGATATGCGTATGCATGGTTGGACCAGTTTTCCTGGTTTGTGTGTTAAATGTCCTGAGTAGTACATATTCTAAACTTCAGATCTCTGAAAATAAAGTTATTTGAAGTGGTAACAGAAAAATATCCAGGTTTGACTCATAAAGGTGATGTTATGCTCTTGATCTGTGCATGGAGCTTATGGTATTGTGTGGATCAAGGACATGCTAAGGTCCCTGAAAGAACAATGAAGGGTAACGCAGCTTCCACTGATAACTATACTTCATGAAGTTCATGAAGTGTAATTTGAGACCTCTTTCACTATCTGTGGTCAGCACAGTAAATGCGGTTCACCTCACTGCGGCCCTTATGTTCTTCGTGTTTACTTTAGCTTTCCATGTATATTCAGATACCTTCAATACTTTTTACTTCACTTGAGCTGCAAAGAGGAATAAAACCAGTTATAGGTGAACACCAGTAATAGAAAGGAGCAAATGTTTCAAAGTATTCCTAGGCAGAAGTTGCAGGTGAATGAAATCTGAATGCTGGTTAATTTTCTTCAGCCTAGCCACCAAAAAAGTGGACCAGGCTTGCATAGGAGGGTGAGATACATGGCTGTATAGACAGAAGATGGGAAGCTTCAGCATAGTCTATTAAGGCTTTCCTTCTATGCTCTTCTGTTCCATATTCTCCTTATATGCAATGGCTTTTGATTCGGAGGACTAAAATAAGAAGTGATCATTTACAAAAGAGAAGCTTAAGGGTTCTGTACCTGTTTTAAATGGGTTTATGGTTTTTCACAGGGCACAGCAGCCTGCAAATTCTGAGGGTCTTTTAGAATAACAGTGTAAATGTTTTTCATTTGGAGTCTGAAGAGACACAGTTGTTAGTTTTCTGAAAAGTTTGACAAAGTTTGATCCCTCATCCTAATATTCATTTAATTATTCATTGTTTGGGTTTGTTGGGGTTCTTTTTTCAGTTGCTGATTTATAGTAGTTGAAAAACCTTATTTTGCAACCCATGAGTTAAAAATGTCAACATGTAGTAGATTAAATATTAAAAAAAAAAAAAAAGCCACAGGCAGTCTACCTTAACTTGTTGCAATTACTGTAGGAAAATGTTAGCTGCTTTAATGTTCATTGTCTTGGAATCATTTGTTGAAGTAGCACACAACATAAAGTAAATGTAACTACAACACATCTCTTGAGTTTTAAAAAGGTTATATTGTATTTTTTTAATCCAGTAAGTGAATCTGTTACTTCCAAGAGCATTATTGATTTTATATGAAACGGGAATGTTTTGACTGCTAGAACTAGTTTATGAGCTGGAATGAATGTAAGCCCTGCAAATCGTAAAGTTTGTAGAGAGCTGTAGCATTGGGGTTTTTGGTGTTTCGTTTTTTTTCCTTCAGGTAACTTGATAGTACAGATTTTTTTTTTTAAGTAATTATGATGTGTGTCTCTGAATTATTTACCCCTTCAGATGTGCAGGATAATGTCATACATGATAGCAAAAAGTTTGTTTAGAAATTCATTAGTAATCTCACAGGTGTTTTGTTTGGTTTGTTTTTTCCTAGCTTCAGTCCTACTTAGCTGTGATCTTGTCTGTCTGTTTCTTTTTAATCGCCAAACTGGATTAGAGACCAGGTGATTAGAACACACTCTTGGGTGACTGGCTGATGAGTATACTTTCTCTTCTTCCAACAGATCTTGAAACCACATAGGCTTGGCTTCTGGGTTATGTTAGCCAGGATTCAAATGATCTTTGCTGCTTTTTCTATAGGAATATGTGGTAGGAAATTGCTATTAAAATATATGCTTAAAATTAAACTATACGTGATTTTCAAAGCATAATTCTGTACATACACCTTCTTACCTGGTAGCCGTATCTCCAGCTTCTAGTGCAGGAGGAATTTATTAATCTAGAACGGCTTTACTAACTTCAACTCCTGTGGTCTTTAAATACCCAAGTACAGTGTGTGTGATGTGTATTCTGCATGTGAGTTTTATGTTCATTCACTCCTCCTCAAAGTGTTCCCACTACAATATATTCAGTATGACAGAGTTCCTATTATAGTCAATTCTTCCCTTTTTAAAACTCTTATAATTATTCTGTAAGTAGTGCTTCTTTGAAATGTGCTTGACAGGAAGATGCAGCCTCCTTCATTTTCCTTTGCCAGTAGATTTTAATTTCCTCGGGACATTTCTTGGAACTAAGATTTTTTTATTTTTTTTTTATTTTTTTACTTCTTATTTTTCTTGTGCATTCAGTGCTGGGTCATTCTGCTGTATTTACTCATTGAGGACCAAAAGAGACCACAAGTTTGTTTTTTGTAAAGACTGGATGAGGCAAACCTCTGTTATTACTGACCTTGATTAGATTAAAATCAGTGAAGTGGAGGTGAAAATCTTGTACATTACTTTTCCAAGCTTGCCAATTCCCTGTGACTCTTCCAGAGACCTTGTTTCAGTGTTTTTAAGTGTGGTATTGTTCAACAGTTGTTTTTCTTATCCTTTCTGATTTTGAAATGGATAGCTTTTGAGGCCTTGCTTACACATTCTAGAAACATCAGCTATAGTATGTATTGTATAAATAGTAATTAACAATATATATTCCAGTGATGCTGGAATGGACTGTGTGCATAACATCTCTAAATGATGCATAAAAAGCTTCTTTCCTTATACTTTCGGGCTTGTATTGTCTTACTATTCATCAGCTGGGTGTCAACAATAAGGAAATAAGGAATTTTCAGCATTGTCTGAATATCAGGAGTACTTATAATTACCTGCTGAAGAACTAAAAATTCCTTTGCTGTAATAAACAATGTAAGACTGCCAGTATGCACCATCTGAAAAGAGGCACCATC